AAAAATATATATATATATATGTATATATTTATTCCGGACCTACCAGACCGGACGTCCCCCCGGACATCCAGACGCGGACGGTCCGGAATGGGTTCCGGACGTCCGGACGGTAACCATGGTTTTTAAACTTTGAAGTTTAAAGTTTAAACACTTTTTTTTTTTTTTTTTTTTTACATCCCCAGTCGGGCCATTCCACTCCTTACTTTTCCTGCTGCTACTCTACTCTCAACTTCTCTGTTGTCAGAAAAGAACAAAATTTAGTAATTAGTAATTACTAATTACAGAACAAAATTTAGTAATTACTAATTACTAACTACTTTGCCATTCCTAGGGACGCAGAGAAGGAAAAAGTTCCTGCCTTTTTTTATCTCAGACTGTTGAAATACAGACGTGAGTTCAAATCCAGATGGAACTAAATGAATGAAATCAAATAGAATCCTCCCTCTTCATTGTCCTTTGGGACATCCTGTAAAATTGGGACGATACAGAGAAGGGTAATTAGCATGGCCCCTCCGCAAGGATGACACGCATAAATGGAGAAATGGTCCAAATTGGCTAGTTAAAAAAAAAGAAAAAAAAAAGAATCCTGCCTCTTCACCTGTCAGACTATTCTTTCAGTAAGTAACACGTGTACCCCCATCAGGCGGCCATGGGCTTGCTGAGAACAAAGGTGCCAATGAGCCTGAAAGAAGGTGTCAGACAAAGGAGGCATTTTGAGAAACAACTTCAGAAGGGATAGACTGGGGCGTAAACTTTTGTGCAATTTAGAAGGGAAGTATATTCACTGCAAAGCCTGGATAACCACACTCCCAAGCACGCTAACAGTCACAAGGTAACGGATGGTAGAGGCGCTTTCGTCAGATTCCAGGGAAACAAGAGAAGGTGAAGGAGCAGACACAACAGTGTATACAAGACGCTCAGACTTGAAACAGAAGCAGCACCGCTCATTCATAGGGATTTACCAGTTCTGCGCAGTGGCCAAGAGGGGAGAAGGAAAAAGGGAGGCAGGGAAAAGGAAGGGGAGAAGAAAGGGGAGAAGGAGTGGGGAAAGGGGAACCCCACAAGTGTGTGCCTAGATCCGGATTCCTCACTGGTACGACCGACTGTGCCAGAGAATGGCATGAAAGACAGTGCCCTCTCAACTGTTATGGACCATATTACCTTGTTGTCACCCAGCAAGTCACACACCCAAACATGTACCTGCCCAAACAACCCAGACCGCTCACAAGAAGTCGATCAACTCCAACAATTTGTGTTACCCATGCCAAGTAGAATAGGAATAGCGAGCCCGTCAGGACGTGCGTTAAAATTGGAATGATCCAGAAAAGGGTAATTACTAATTAGCATGGCCCCGGTGCAAGAGGGGGGGGGGAAGGAACAGGCAGGAATAGGGAGTGTAACCAACTCTGCCACGACCTCCTCCTCCCTCAATGCCTTTCACAAATTATTGTCATAGTTTGAAAGCATACATGCTTCACTGTCACACGGACAATCAACGATTGAGAAAGCACCTCAAAGAACAGTGTACAACACTCATGTTTTTCTCTTCTGCCTCCTAATTCCAGTCCGATGACAACCCGCCAAGTAACAGTCCCTCTAAGCTCCTTGCCCGTGATGGGCTCATGCTGCCCACCTCCAGCATGGCCCAGTAGCTGCAGCTGTAAGTCAGCGCAAGCGCATGACTTTCTCACGCGGCAGTCAGGGAGCCCAGGTGTGACTTCCGTTAGTCAGCGTCGATGCAGCCCAGCGGCATCCACTGCTGTGCGCTTGACTGGGCTGGATGGATTTAGATATACCCGATCCCATTTCATCCCGACCTCGATCCATGTTATTGTCTTATGCCTTATGTACTGAATCTACTGATTTATTTTGGGAGACATGGTTAACTTGTGGAAACCACCCAAAAAAAGCAAGCGGTGCTGCTTCGTGCCTCCTTGCCACAACTCGAGCTGTCCAGCCAGCCCAGTTGGCCGGTCTCCGGGTGCAGCCTATTTTTAGGAACTGGGCCCAAACAGGGCGGTACTGGTACATCTTTCCACTTCCCAAGCAGGGTACAGAAGTACCGCCGGAAAGGTCTGGTACCCTCGCAAAATGTTTACTCAGGTCATCAGTCGGATGTCCCAATAGGGGAAATTGCAGAAATATCCTCGAGGCCAGATGACAATGAGCTGGAACAAACAAACACTTTTCAAAATAACAAGGACAAAACATAAAGCACAGAATTTTACAGTATTTTGTACATTTATGGTACAACTCACGGGTTGCTGCAAACCGTGGCTGCTTGCACGAGGGTCAGGTTGCACAGGGACAACGAATGGAACAGGCATTCTCTATAGCAGGCAGGCACTCCAAGACTGGGCAACACTGGTTCAGGTGTGGAATGTGGAAGCACTAAGTCCAATCCTCTCAGTCACAGTCACTGTCTCAAATGGCGTGGTGCAGTCAGCTATCACAGGCAACTTGGCTTCCACGCGGCCAGGACCACAGAGGTGTGGCGACTGGAGTTGTAGAGGCACTTCAATACCAGCCCGTCACTGTAGACAGGACATTCCATAAGAGGGCGGTGTGGATGCATACACAGGGGACTGTCATGAAAAGCGTAATCGAACGTATGGAAACAAAGACCTTTGTAGACCATAGATGCGGCACATCAACATGTGCTGCAACGTGCGCATGCGCCGCACCGCGCAGCGCACACGGCGTGCGGTGCATGCCAAAATTACAGGGTTCACCAAAAAAAAAAAAAAGTTTTGGGGGGGGGTTGTTGGCCCGCTAGGCACTTCGCGCCGTCCAGTACCCCCCCAAAAAAAAAATATTGAGGTCGCAGGGGCCCAGCAAAAAGAAAAAGTGGGGAGATCTGAGCAGTTCACTTTTGAACTACTCGGACCTGGCCCACTCTGTGTGCGTTGGAGCAGGAAGCAGCCCTCCGCATCGTCGTTCAGCCATATCCTGCGCAGCTTCAAACAGCACCGCGAGGGAGGCAGCGGGAAGGTGCCGAAGGACGCAGCAGCGGGAGGGGGCGAAGGAAGCAGCCATATCCAGGTGGAATCTGTGCAGATCCTCCTCCTCCCCATTTCTCCCATGTTGTTTTTTTTTGTTCTTCTCCCCGTCCCCCTTCCTCCCTCCTTTGTCATTGTTCTCCTACTCCCCCGCTTATCATAGCGCTCTCCTTCGTCATCGTTCTCCTACTTCTCCACCCTTCTACCTTCCCCCTCCTCCATTCCCTCCATCCTCCCTCGTCATCGTTCTCCTCGTCCTCAATCCTTCCCATTGTTCTCCTCCTCGCCAATCCTCCCCATCGTTCTCCTCCTCCTCAATCCTCTCTCATCATCGATCTCCTCCTCCCTCCGCCGTTCTCCTCCCCCTCCCTCCGTCATCATCAGTGTTCTCCTCCCTTCTCCATCCCCCCTCCGCCCTTCTAGCTTCCCTCTACTCCCTCGTCATCGGTGTCCTCCTCCCTCCATCATTCCCTCCGTCCTCCCT